GGAAGAAGAAGAAGAAGAGGGAGAAGAGGAATGTGAGCTAGGCGATCCTGAACACAATAGTAGTTATGGGTTCTCATTCCGAAATCGTAAATTCATCCATTCCTTATCCGGATCTAAGGCCCTTAGCCCTTCTTCATCCTCCCAAAGCGAAAATGGTCGAGAATTTTGGACAACGGCGCCGTGTGAGAGACAAAATGACCTGCGTCGTAAGCATCCCAGCAATTTTAACATCAAATCTAGGAGTTGTTCAGATAAGCCGTCTTCCATCAGCCCCAGTACAGCATCCGAAATTACATCATTAATGCTGACAAGGCATAGAAGTCCAGACAATTCTTGCCGAAGTGATAACAGCAATCTTGAAGCCGACTTGGATATCACAAGTCATGGAGGTGTGACTTTCTCCACAAGGACTGGAAGTAGTAGTTCCTATTCTATGATTCATCCAAGTTCACTCAACTATGCCCAAATTAAACAATCACCTGCAAGCAGTCATTCTGGTAGTATAGTCAGTTCAAGTAACGCGAGTCATCGTTCAACTCCCCACACAAATTCCTTCCAGCCATCCTGGTTTGACGCTAGACAACCAATCCTGGCTGCACCTATGATTCTTGGTTTGGCCCGGCCAAATTCTCCTCAAAATTTGACATCTGACCTTGCTTATGGACCCAGCACTTGTTTCATGAGATCTCGCTCATTGGCCAATAGTCCAACACACTCTGCTCTTCCAGCCAATGGTGGTGAGATCGGTGCTACTGAGATGTATGGCAATCGCTATCAATCTCGGCAAATGCAATGCAGATCTAAGGAGACGACAGATAGAGAATCTAACCCTAAGATGCGATTTAGGTCTAATAGGGTATCCAGTAGTCAGATTGGTTCGGCTGGAGACTTGCACAAGTGTACATCAAAACTGGATTTCCAGGCGACCCCTGAATCTGCGCAACCTCTAGTAGCCCTTTTGATAAGAGCTGGAAGCAAGCGAAAGCTGGCCTCACCAGAAGAAGCTGATTTACAATCAGAAGCAGAAGATGAAGAGGGTGAAGAGGATAATGAGAATGAGATCGAGTTTAACGCAACTGAACGAGTGGAGACAGTAAGACGAAGTCTACGAACCGGTGCTAGCCAATTATGCGCTCATTTGTCGCCTAGAAGACGAAATAAAGATTAGAACATAATTATATCACGAATCTCTAGTGCAATATTGACAAGGCGGCCTCGATGACAAAAAAATGTAAACTCAAGTCTTTCTTTCATTCATTTCTACAAATCTATCTTCAAATTTTCTTAGAAGTAAATTCATATTCCAGAAACGGCAGCAAAGGAATGGATTTTATGCGCAAACGGAAACCCATTACCTCTAGATGCTCATTTCCATGTACACGAGGAATTATAGTACTACTAGAATATTTTCCCGCAGAGTTACTATTTGGGTGAAATTGATCTCAGAAGTCAACCTGAAAGGAGTCAGTGCTAAATTATATCTTCATAGGCGATTCTTCTAGCGCATGACCAGTTGACTTCCCTCTTCATCTTTCATATATTGCTCTCAATAGTCTATTCTATTCATATAAACTTATCTATATACAATTGAATAGGAATCTAACGCAACATTCTTGCCTGATTAGTTAAAAGGATATAGCCGTTTCTATATTGCTCATACAATTTTTATATAGGAGATATTATTCCAAAACCTACGGGACTTTCAAATACTTGCAGTTAAGTTTACTTAATGGCCAGTTCTACTGCAACGGTTAACTTAGCAGCAAACTAGTTATCTTAAAAGCATCCATCCAGAAAAATAGTCCTCTTGTCGATATTATTTGTCGTCATGTCGATGGGTTCTTCAAGTTTCTCTTTCAGTTGAGCTGGTGTGAATACCAGTTATTTTTGTTTGTAATAGGTTGTTTGATTTAGGTACTTAATGCTGTATGATAAGCTAAAGTTAGATACATGTCTGCTGACCAGTTTATTTGACTATTACATGAGCATATGATCTCCACAATTTCCCATATATTCTTTTTGCACATCCCAAAGGCAACTGGTGAACTACCGGATTTTGATCAAAGATATGAATAGAACTTTCCTTATCTCCTTACATTGAGAGTTACTCAATGCCACATTAGCAGGTTGTGCTGAAAATCATTGTCTGATCTCTTCTCTACAAAGATGCATGTATAAAGTCTTTCAGATAATCTCTCTAATTGAACTGCTATTTTAATACAATACTTGCTAATCTCTATCCCTTCTTTGGATACTGCTTGAACTAAATACTTTCATAAGTGCTCTTTCCTAATTTTTTTGAGCAAAATAAACTAGTCTACAACAAATGAAGAACTTTAAGAGGGATACAGCGACAAGCTTGTTTTGTCCTTAGAAGAAGTGAAGGAAAGCATCTTCAATGCCTCCTTAATTAATGCTAATTTACATGTATAAAATTTGTATATGAAATTTAATTCTTGTATCTTTAAACAAAGTTAAGCTTAATCTTAGTGTATCATTTCATAAAGATCTGTGAAAATTGCAGAAATCCATTCAGAATCTTTATATATATATATATTCATATGTACAAGTCTTTTCTATTTTCACATGCTTTACTGTTTCAAAACTGCATACAGCATTAGTATTAGTATATATATATGCTTTTTAGAAATACTATTCAAAGGATGAAGTGAACTCATATTTGTATCAGCATAGGGAGAATTATATGTTGCTTATAATCAATGAGCCATTGTATTACATTGATTACAGTGTTGTGCTTGAGTTAACAGTGAGTTTGTATGTATATATTTCACAACTTTATAATTTAATTCCCCTGTTGAGATGCCTATATTT